TTTTTTTCGTTCAATACCACAATTTCTTACAAACACAGTCTAGACCTTTTTCATTCAGGTCACTCCCCACGAAGTAACTCCTCCCCACTCTCCCAAACCTCACCTCCAACCAACCACCTCACAATTTGCATCATAACCCCCTAATTTTTCTCGTTTTAACCCTTTTAGTTCTTAAAGTGGGACCACATGCATCAGGAAAGTCACCGCATTCACTTTCGTTAAATTAACTTCTCACAATTGTACATATTACGAAGTTAATTACGGCTCTTTTACTTTGAACATCTTCAAAAACACTCTCATAAATCATTGATACTCACAAAAAAAATTCTTATACATTTCCAAACAAACTGAATCCCCAAAAACATCATTCGTAACACCCAATTCACCTCTGTACATTTACTCACCAGAACACATTCATTAAGTACTCTTGCACATCATTTGAAACACCTACGCTAAAACACTTCATAATCAAGTTTGTTACACCTTAAGAACTACCTTGAATACTCAAATAAACACCCTTGTACACCTTCAAAACACCTTCAAAAGCACTCTCATAAATCATTTGAACACACTCCAAAACACCTTTTGAACACATTCAATAACACTCTCTTAAATCATTTGAATATCAAAACAATACCTTTATACAATTTCCATAACAACACTGTAACACTTCCAATATACACATTTGAGTATACTCCCAATTACCACCACTGATAATTAACTACTAAACACCGCTGAAATTCAATCAAAACACCTTCAACACCTTCAAAACACCCTTGAACTCTTCAAAAACCTTATGAATACCTCAAAATCACCTTTGATCACCTTCAAAACACCCTTGAACACCTTCAAAACACCCTTGAACACCTTTAAAACACTCTTGAACACCTTCAAAAACACTCTTCAACACCTTTCAAAACACCCTTCTGAACACCTTCAAAACACCCTGTGATATGTTTTAAAATAATTTCATCAAACCCATTATATCATCTTTTTATCGCTCTCGTAACTCTATTCGACTACACTACCCTCATCACATACTCCCATCAAATTTTATTACGTTTTAACCCTTTTAGTTCATATTAAAGTTAATAAGGGGACACATTAACTGTGTAACAAAGATATTCCACACACACTCACACACTCAACACACAACACCACACACACACACACACTCACACACACACACACACACACGCACCTACATAACTAACCTTACCTAACCTAACATACCTACCTAATTTTCCTAACCTAGCCTATCCTAAACCTACGAACATATCCTATCCTAAACCTAACCTAACCTAACCTACACCTACCTTACCTAATACTAAACTAACTAACCTACCGAACCTAACCTTACCTAAATAACCTTACTAACCTTACCTAACATACCTAAACCTAACCTTACACTTAACCTAACCTAAACCTAACCGGACCTACCTTACCTACACATAACCTAACCGAACCCTATCTCTAACCTAACCTATCTAACATAACTTAACCTAACTAACCTAAATACCGACCCTAACCTATCCTAACTAAACCTATCTAACCTTACCTAACAATAACATAACTAACCCTTTACACTTAACTAACCATCCTAACCTAACCATAACCGAAACCTAACTTACTAATATAACCTAACCTAACCTTACATACCGAACATATCCTACCTAACCTATCCTAACCCTTACCTAACTTAACCTAACCTAACCTAACCTACCCATAACATAAACCTAACCTAACTATCCTAACCTAACCTATACCGCACCTAACCTTACCTAAACATAACCTACCTTAACCTTTACATAACATAAAACATACTAACCTCAACCATTACCTAACTCTACCCTAACTACTTAACCTTACCTAACCGAACCTAACTAACCTTAACCTAACCTAAAACTTACCCTAACCCTAACTAACCTAACCTAGCCTAATCCCTACCTAACCTCGCCTAACCATTAACTTATATCCTAACCTAACCTATCCTCTAACTAACGTAACCTAACCTTACCTAACATAACCTAACCTAAACTTATTAACCTAACCCACCCTAGAGAAACCTATTTCCTACCTAACCTAAAATATATTGGAACACCCCCAAAATACATTAGAGTACTCCAGGAATTACTTTGAACGACTCCATTTTGGATATTTCAAATTAGTTTTGAAAACATTATCTAAAATCGACATTTTTTTTCTTGTTGGCTTAAATCCAATCAATGGTAGAAATATTTGACTCGATTTCCGAATAGTAGCACTGCTTCGCTCTGAGAGACTCATTGTGGGGGCAGCCCTTCCCCAACACATGTGGTAATGCGGTTCACATCCTAAGGTAGATTTAAGATAATCATGAACACCTGGATCAAACTCAGGACAGGAACAGGCGCATGTATGGCGGTTCACAACCAAGGTTAGAACATTCACCTGCGTAATCAGGACAGCCAGGCGCCATGAAATGCGGGTAACATCAAGAAGAAATATAATACCAGTAGTATCCTTACTGCAACTCCTAGGTCAGCGTCACCATAAGCAAACTAATTTTGGTGCGGTCTTACTTTTTAGTACATTTAAATAATAAGGGGAAAGTATTGAGATATAACAATTTGTACTTCTACCTCAATACATTTTTTTTTTCATGGTAAGGTTTGATTTAAAATCTTCAGCATGTCTTAAAATTTTATTAAACAATTTCTCTTTTTTAATGAATGAAAATCATTATTAATCTGTGTAACAACACGATCTAAACATCATAAATCCTCTTCTTCCTACAGTCTTGTTCTTCCATGTCCCGTCACATCGGTACCTGTAAATTTTAATATATTTCATTAGCATATAATGTGGAGAAATTTGCACCATCACTGTAAAAGATAAACAACTAAAATTTTACTTATTTTTTCACTATCCCAAGCATCTTCTTCTCGTTATACTTAAATATCTCCCATTAATGACTTAAAAAAAATGCATGATCGTGATGTATAGGTATTATGGGTAGACATGATTCTCGGTGTTTCAGGTAGAGATAGTCGAAAAAGGTAAGTGTTACATTTTCATGGTGAGATAAATATGAGTTATTAATTCAATATATCTCTTATCAAGTTATAATTACATCCTCATAATATTTAAAATGAAATAATACCTTCTCATATTATTATTAAAATGAATTAATCCACTGATACAAGGTAAATAATTTGGCTTACCTTTATATGTTACTCACACATTAGGCTCAATGTTTTTAATATATTGTTTATTATCTGTGAAAAGTTCTCTCACAATTAACCAGTTTTACATATTCGGCACGACATATATATATATATATATATATATTATATATATATATATATATATATATATATATATATATATATATATATATATATATATATATATATATATATATATATATATATATATATATATATATATATATATATATATATATATATTATATATATATGTCGTGCCTTATATGCAAAATTTGCTGTTTTGGCTTAAATAGTAACGCTCTTCCTGCCGAATAAGGCAAGCGAAAATTTGTGTATGCACTAATTTTGCAAAAATTATTCTGAACCTAACGACAAAAATATATTTCATTATGTTTGTTTATTATTAAATTATTGTAAACTTATCTAAAATATATTTAGGCTAAATAAAATTGCTCTTGTTATAATAAGGTTAAGTAAATTATCTATGATTTTTTTTGGCACAAAATTACTAATTTTTACATTACATATATGAAAAAATATATCTTTAAACGTATAAGAGAAAATTTTAGAAAGAACTTAATTTTAAGTGAATTCTTGCTAATTCACCAATTTTACTTATTCGGCACGACATATATATACATTATTTTCTTTTTATATATTTATTGTAACTAAAGCTGAATTTAACACAAAATGCAAATATTCGAAAAATGACGCAGCGTAATGCGTAGGAAAATAAACTTCTAGATTTAAAGTAGACCTGAATACTGCACAATTTAACAGCAGAGTTGGTTTACCCAGTAATTCAAGAATCCAGCAAAGTGTTTGCAAAAATATTTTTGATGAACAAGAGACGGGAAATGAAGGCAGCAGGTGGTGGGAGCTCTCTGATGCAGACCTTAAACGAAGCTTAACTAGCATGATGACCAGGATGAAGCTTGCATGATAAACACACGGTCTTGCATGGCAACACGTGATAGTTTCCAGTAAGTGGATTTTTCAATTGCATTCAATCAGCGTAAAACTTGGTGATTTGCCGAAATGGTTTCCTCTATCTTTGCCTATCAGTCCTACTCTCTCTTTTTTTTTTTTTTTTTTTTTTTTTTTTTTTTTTTTTTTTTTTTTTTTTTTTTTTTTACACAGGGTTTGATAAGGTTAAGGATCCCTAGCTTTATTGACAGCTATATTACAGGTTAAGGATTCCTAATTTTATTGGCAAGCTAAGAGCTGTTACCTACATCAGCTCTCTCTCTCTCTCTCTCTCTCTCTCTCTCTCTCTCTCTCTCTCTCTCTCTCTCTCTCTCTCTCTCTCTCTCTCTCTCTCTCTCTCTCTCTCTCTCTCTCTCTCTCCTCTCCTCTCCTCTTCTCTCCTTTTGAAGTTAAATTTTATTTAAATAACTCCTTCCTTCACCAACAACTGGACTTTTATTCTTTAACAGCTACTGTTCCTCCACCTCACTGACAGCTGAGCTTTCCGTCTCTGACAGTTATGGTCTCTGTCTCTCTAGAAAAGAAAGTTTCCCACACTGACAGTCAAATTTATACGTCGGTACTAATCAAACTTTCACATACAGCCAAACTTTCTTAAAAAAAAAAAAAAACGGTCAACCCCTCCCTCCCTTAAAACCAAACTTTCTCTCATTGATAGACAAACTTTCCTTCACTGACAACTAAACTTTCCCTTACTAAGAGACAGATATTCCCCGACACAAGTAAAATTACCTACCAGTGACAGCTAAACATTCATTGACATCCAAATTTTTTCTCACTGACAGCCAAACTTTCACTCGACAGCTGATGAGGTGAAAACGCTGAAGGATGCGAGCGCAACGGAACATCTTCGGCAGCAGCTGGAGAGAGAGAAGGAGAAGAATCGAATACTGATGGAGAGGCTCCAAGAAAAGGAAGCCAGAGAGAGGGGAGAGAGAGAGGCAAGAGAGAGAGAACGACACACAAGGGAGAAGAGCTTCCCTCCAGGAGACAAATCCCCCAGGTGAGAGAAAGTGCTGGGAGGGACGGAGGGAGTGAGAGAGGAAGTCATTGATTATGTAAACATGATTAAATGTTTCCGCATGAAACAGCATGATAGTGTTATGTATGAATGTAACATTACATTTCACCCTGTGTACCAATGGGCCACTAGCTCGAGGGACGTCCACTGACAATCATTCTTGAGGCTCTCTAACAGGAACATTCGATAAGTTTTATTCAATGACCGGAATGTGATCCGCTTAGCTTAATAAGAACTGCAGACACAAACGTTTTGTGTGTGTGTGACTAAACGTACTGTAGAATTTCTTGAGAATGTGCTTAATTTATTTGCATGGATCTATTGAAAATAATATTTATGCTTCTATTAACCATAAATCAAATAATTAATTCTAACGTCTTTGATGGTATGAAGACACTTCAGATTCAGGTAATGAGAGTAAGCCACTTATTTATAATTTAAATGTTTTCATATATCTGTACTAGCAAAACCTTGTCCTAAGGACTTCTTTGACTTCAAGAATGTATAATCCCTTGATCAGGAACCTGAAGCGTGCCATCACTCGACAGTTTTTGCCCTAGACTGTTAACTAACCTCAGTACTAACCTTCCCTCCCCTAGCCTGCCCCAGCGAATAAGGAAACGAATTAATCAGATCCACAAACCACAGTCCTTTGAGGTTGATGATGGATCTCCCGGGCCGCCTCAGCCACTAATCAGCGAGAAGACCCGCCTGCTTGGGGAAGAGCGGACCAATAACAGACCAGGACCAGAGCTGCCAACCAGTCAAATTGTAAAGTACGGAGGAGAAGCAGCCAATCCCAAGTCAAGTTCTCCATTTGATGTTGTTGAGTTAGTGTTCTTTCCACCTGTCTTTCTCTTTCACTGGTCACATATTTTTTTTTACTCCTATCACTTATAACATGAAGCCACAGTTAAGGAGGAGATGAGGGGAAAAATCAACCCACAATTGGTGACAGGTTTGTTAATATCAAGAAAAGATTTGGTTGGCATTCTATGGAAACGGCAGACGAGATTCTGAATAAAAATGTACGAATTTTCATTGATTTATTACTCGGATTCACAAAGCTTTAGGTTTTTAATTAGCGAAGATTTGGCATTCTAAATACACAAATTCTCAGAAAGTCGAAGGTTTTGGCTCTAGATTTATGTTACGTTTAATTAAATTACTAAAGCCACTTTACTGTAGATTCTCACAGCTTCTTTGTGCTTATTTCAAGGTTTAAGCATCAGAGTTCTTAAAGCTTCTCTCCCTAGATTCTCAAAATTTCTGGTCCTTTGACAGTGAATCGTAACAAGATAGTAGTATACTTTAAATAGATTGCGCCCAGGAAGTAGGGAAGGTCTTCTCCCTGGAAGGGGGGCCACTCTCCATGCGAAGTGCATATCTGACTAAGTATCCAGTAAACAGTTGTAAGCATGACTGGCTAGGATATTTCCTCTTTCGTCTACCTTTGCGGTGATTTATGACCAATGACTTGGAATGAAATATGGATATTGCTTGTGGAAAGTATATAATTAACTAAATTCCTCTGTTTACCTTGAAATGAAGTTTATCTTATACAACAGTAAATTAGTCATTAAAATAGCAAGCTGGTAATAACAGTAGCAAATAGACAATGCTTTCAGCAACTGTTTATGATGACGTCGCTGAATAACCCTAAGGTTATATAGTGCCTTGCATATTAAACAAATTCTTCCCCCAGTGTTTGGAACTGGTTTCTCAAAACTCACTTGGCCCCATTAATGAAGATTCTCGCCCTAATTTTTAGAAGCTTCTGAACACAGAGTATTCCAGACTCTCTGTTCGGGTTCTTAAAGCTAAAACCTTTAAAGATGGTTTCTCCAATGTTTCTTATCCGAACTCTGGAAGCTTAAAGGCTTTGATTGTCCTTGACGCATTCGTTTCTCACATCATGTAAGTTCTCTCATTTTTAACTGAATATGTAAGCACTCGTGTGTCAGACTAACTGAATGAACAACACAGCATTTGTGGCAAAATGACTCTCTCACCAACAGGGTAACAATAATTTTAATAGCGATAATAATGATAATAATGATTGTGGATGTTATGAATGACAAGAAGCTGGTTGTCCTGGCTCTAAGTGAAACAAAGCTGAAGGGGGTAGGAGAGTTTCAGTGGGGATAAATAAATAGGATTAGGTCAGGGTGTCTAATAGAGTTAGAGCTAAGGAAGCAGTAGCAATAATGTTGAAGAATAAGCTTTGGCAGGAAAAGAAGGAATATAAATGTATTAATTCAAGGAATATGCGAAGTAAAATAAGGATTGGATGTGAAAAGTAGGTTATAGTAAGTGTGTATGCACCTGGGGAAGAGAGAAGTGTGGAAGAGAGAGAGAGAGAGAGATTTTGGGAAATGTTGAGTGAGTGCGTGGGAAGTTTTGAACCAAGTGAGAGAGTATTTGTGGTTGGGGATCAAAATGCTAAAGTGAGTAAAAATATTGTATAGGAAGAAGTAGGTAAATTTGGGGTGCCAAGGGTAAATGAAAATGGGGAACCTTTAACTGAACTATGTGTAGAAGGAGGTTTGGTATTAAGTAATACATATTTTATGAAAAAAAGAATAAATAAGTATATAACATGATATAGCACGTAATGAAAGTAGTTAGATTGGTGGATATTGGTGGATAAAAAGGTGATGGGTAAGCTTCAGGATTTACATGTTTATAGAGAGACAACGGATATATCGGATCATTATTTAGTTGTAGCCACAGTTAGAGTAAGAGGTAGATGGAACAAAAGGAAAATGGCAACAATAAGTAAGAGAGTGGTGAAAGTTTATAAACTAAAGGAAGAGGAAGTTAGGGTGAGATATAAGCAACTATTGGCAGAAAGGTGGGATAGTGCAAGTATGAATAGTTGAGGGAGGGGGGGTTGAAGAGGGTTGGAATAGTTTCAAAAATGTAGTATTAGAATGTGGGGCAGAAGTTTGTGGTTATAAGAAGGGCAGAGTATATGGAGAGTAAAAGAAAGGTGAAGAGAGTGGTGAAAGAGTGAAACGGAGAGCAAATGATAGAGTGGGAGAGGCACTATCAAGAAATTTTGCTGAGAATAAGAAAAAAAATTGGAGTAAGATAAACAAGTTAAGAAAGCCTAGGGAATGAATGAATTTGTCAGTTAAAAATAGAGCAGAGGAGTTAGTAGACGTGGAACTGGAGGTATCAGGTACCTGGCGGGTATATTTTGAGGAACTTTTAAATGTCGATGAAGAAAAGGAGGCACTAATTTCAAGCACTGGTCAGGGAGATATAACATCTTATAGGAGTGAAGAAGAGCAGGATGTGAGTGTAGGGAAAGTGTGTTGGAATGCATGAAAGAGGGGAAGGTACCTAGAGATTGGCAGAGAGCGTGTATAATTCCTTTGTAAAGGGATAGGAAACAAAAGAAATTCTAAAAATTATAGGAGAATAAGTTTACTGAGTTTATCAGGTAAAGTATATGGTAGGGATATTATTGAAAGAATTAGAGGTAAGACAGAGAGCAGGATTGCAGATGAGCAAGAAGGCTTTAGAATGGGTAGGGATGTGTAGATCAGTGTTTGCATTGAAGCATATGTGTGAACAGTATTTAGATAAAGGTAGGGAAATTTTTATTGCATTTATAATATATATATATATATATATATATATATATATATATATATATATATATAATATATATATAATATATATATATATATATATATATAAACTGATAGGTAACATCGAAGATCTTTGTATGCCTCAAACGCATCCTTATCAAACTGATACGTTCTCTCTCTGTGTCATTTTTTTCTTAGAATGGTTTGTATCCATCTGTTCCCTATCACATTGCTTGTCCCTGGAGTTATGTTCTAACTATCCAAATTACGTTACACTGACCATCTTTAGATTTATAAATCTTTCGATTTTTATGTTATGCTGACAGTCTCTAGATTTCTGTCTTTGATTTTGTCACGTTAGCTGCCCCTAGATTTATCAATGTTCGCAGTACCTAGCTTGATCTAACTTAACTATCCATACATGATTCTTTGTATTACACTTTACCTTTCTTCCTCCATACATGTATATGCGTCACATTCCAAAATCCCTGATTCATGGATTTACATGCACCAACCCCTACCATCACTTCTCCATTGTTGTACATGTACCCCCACTCAACTATACCTTCTATATATATATATATATATATATATAATATATATATATATATAATATATATATATATATATATATATATATATATATATATATATATATATAAAATATTTATTTATTTATTTATTTATTTATTCCACCCTCCATGGATTTTTAGCCTTCTTTCAATTATCCCGTCTCCATAAATTTATTTGTACGACACTTAACTCTGGATTAATATGTACCACATAATTCCTTCCCTCATCAGTTACTTCTTATTCCACCTTCCTTCCTCAGGAGCCCTTCTCGTGGGAGGTTCGCCTGGAAGCGCCGAGGGCTGGAGAAGAGCAAGTCATTGGACCAATCGGAATTTCTGGCCTCCCTGAACGGCACCACTGCCAGTAGTGCCACCACCTCTAGCAGCACTACCACCAGCACCACCACCACCACTGTAGGGACTGGCGCTGGCTCCTCTTCCACCACCACCTGCTGCGCCGCCTCCGCCACCCACCATGCCTGGGTGTACGACGATCAGCGTCACGACAGTGACTCTGAAGACGGGGAGAGAGGTGAGTGTGTTTGTAATTACTGTTAACAGGAACAGAAATCCTGCTTAATATGGGAGTCCTGCAGACCAGGCATGAGAGGAATAGCAATAGACCCCTGGCTGCTTTCAAGAGGGAGTTGGACCGATATCTAAAGTCAGAACCCGATCAGCCAGGCTATGGACTATGTACGGCCAGCAGTAATAGCCTGGTTGATCAGGCCCTGATCCACTGGGAGGCCTAGTCCAAGGCTGGGCCACTAGGGCGTTGACCCCTAGAACACCCGCCAGGTAGGCTCTAGGTAGTGTGTGTGTCAGTGGGTTCCTGGGATAATATAGTAGAGTAGTAACAGAAAGGGCACAATACCGTGACTGGAACGATACACAAATAACAAACTTCAGAACACCCGTGACTTAACTTGATTCCTGCTTTTTCCTCTTCTCCCTCTTCCCCTTTCCTCTTTCCTTTTTCTCTTCTGGGTTGTCTTTCTTCTGCCTTGTGTTTTTGTTCCTTCTTTTACTTTTTATTATTTCCTCCCCTCTGTGTTCTTGCTCTTACCCCTCTGTGGGCACCAGCTGCCTTGCGGTGCTCCTCTTTCTTAGTATTTGACTGGATCCTCCTCCTTCTTACTTCCCCACTACTGCTTCCTTCCACCTCCACTACTGCTACTTCCTTCCACCTCCAGTTCTTCTACTACTACTGCTACTACTGCTGCTGCTGCTACTACTACTACTACTACTACTACTACTACTACTACTACTACTACTACTACTACTACTACTACTACTACTACTACTACTATTACTACTACTACTACCACTACCTTCCTGCCTATATGTACTCTTCCTGGTCTACGTCTCGTTAGTGTGACTTTGTAAATGGTCCAAGTCTGACCGAAACGTCGTCGTAAGCTCCTCTCTTCAATGTGCGGGTATTTGTGTATAGTAGAATAGTGTTTGTGAGATGGACTCTGGGGGTAGAATGGAAGAATGGTGCAAGTGCGAGGGAACCTGACACGTAATAACAGCATGGTATATGTGAGCGTGTCCCTTGCGTTACTTGGATAAGGGTCTGCGAATGGGAAGAGCTTGGTAAGATAGGTAAAAGAGGAGTGAGGTGCATAAATGAAGCCTTTGCAAGGAGTAAGATGTGAAAGAAAGGTCTCTCCCTGAGAGAGAGCGAGGTGTGTGTGTGTGTGTGTGTGTGTGTGTGTGTGTACTCACCTAATTGTGGTTGCAGGGGTCGAGACTCAACTCCTGGCCCCGCCTTTTCACTGATCGCTACTAGGTCCTCTCTCTCTCTCTGCTTCCAGTGTTTTTTCATACCTTGTCTTAAAGCTATGTATGGTTCCTGCCTCCACTACATCACTTGTTAGGTTATTCCACTTTCTGACGACTCTATGACTGAAGAAATACTTCCTAACATCCCTCTGACTCGTCTGAGTCTTCAGCTTCCAATTGTGACCCCTTGTTTCTGTGTCCCCTCTCTGGAACAACCTGTCTCTGTCTACTTTATCTATTCCACGCAGTATTTTGTATGTCGTTATCATGTCTCCCCTGACCCGCCTGTCCTCTAATGTCGTCAGTCCGATTTCCCTCAACCTTTCTTCGTAGGACATACCCCTGAGCTCCGGAACTAGCCTTGTTTGCAAACCTTTGCACTTTCTATAATTTCTTGACGTGCTTGACCAGGTGTGGGCTCCAAACTGGTGCTGCATACTCCAGTATGGGCCTGATGTACACAGTGTACAGTGTCTTGAACGATTCCTTACAAAGGTATCGGAACGCTGTTCTCAGGTTTTCCAGGCTCCCGTATGCTGCAGCAGTTATCTGGTTGATGTGTGCCTCCGGAGACATGCTCGGTGTTATGGTCACCCCAAGATCTTTCTCCTTGAGCGAGGTTTGCAGTCCTTGGCCACCTAGTCTATACTCTGCCTGCGGTCTTCTTTGCTCTTCTCCGATCTTCATGACTTTGCATTTGAATTCAAGAAGCCAGTTGCTGGACCAGGTGTCCAGCCTGTCCAGGTCTCTTTGAAGTGCTGCCTGGTCCTCATCTGATTTAATTCTCCTCATTAACTTCACATCATCTGCGAACAGGGACACTTCTGAGTCTAACCCTTCCATCATGTCATTCACATATACCAGAAATAGCACTGGTACTAGGACCGACCCCTGTGGGACCCCGCTCGTCACAGGTGCCCACTGTGATACCTCATCCCGTACAATGACTCGTTGTTGCCCCCCCTGTGTGTGTATGTGTGTGTGTGTGTGTGTGTGTGTGTGTGTGTGTGTGTGTGTGTGTGTGTGTGTGTGTGTTTCGTGTGGTACCATTGAATAAAGGCTGCTACCTCTAGCATGCCAGAGCCTCTTTGCAAGAAAACTAAAGACAGTGAAAGATAAAGTTGAGTATCAGAAGAGAGTTTAAAAGAAACTGGTCAGGCTAAAAATGACGCATAAATGCATTACAGAGAAGCCAGCAAACTTAGGATAAATAATGTTCGTGAATTTACATTGTCGTTTACTAAATTTTCTGTGAGACACTCTGGGTTTGGGAACATTATTAAATACCGAACAATAACTCAAGGTTCCTCTAGTGCCTGAAGCTCATTTTCTAATGTTATTAATGTATTAATTTGTTAATTTGTTACAGAAATAAAGGAAATTATGAATAATATTGTATGAAGATTCAATACTAATTAAGGAAAAGATACTTTACTTTATTGTTAATATGTATTATAATACTGTGCAACTTTTGTGAATTTATAAATTTAGTTACTCTTGATTATAATATATCATATAAATTTGAAAAAAATATAGCTGTATATTTTCTGAATAATATCGCAGTTAATTTTACCTAAATAACATATGTAGGGTATTTTTTTTAATTACTCTCTATGTGAAAGTTAATGATTTTTTTGCGTGAATTCGTTAACATAATTTTTAAAGAAGTGGACCGGTAAGCCAGCGGAAGTCCTCGGTCAGATGACCAAAAGCTCCAGCTGTGGGTCATCATACGACTAAGACCCGCGTCAGGAAAAGCTTGTCCTGTTTCCCGATAAATATTATACCTACCTCCCGTTATTTGTTACATATTTACTAAGTCAAACATGAAAAATTCATTCCTTCTAGAGACACAACTTTGTCCTTCCATCGAAGGTTTATTTACTCTGGCTGAAATCCCGAGTCCTCCATCAATACCTAGATGACAATACCACAGTAATTAATTGGTTAATTATAATATGGAATTATTTTAGTCGAACAGTCGTTGGGATTCGTGAAAAATGGCACCAAGTCGTAGAGTTTGTGGTTGGAGCAACAGTGTCAGTGTGGGTAACAGGCGAGGGACGTCGCATAGAGCCAGCTCTAATTGTAATAATTTTCCGCCTTCAGATGACATTCTCACAGCAGTGATGGTTAAATTTTCGCTCCAAAAATTAGTTATAATGTTTGCTGAGGAATGAGACGCGTGGATTAAACAGAGCGAGATAATGCATCGCGAAAACTATAATCATGACATCTGTCTTTAGCAACAGCAGTCGTGAAAGAGTATCAAACACTCACACTGTCTACAGCTGGTGTCAGCTTTACACTCCAGCAAGGTCACCTCAGTCATTGATCTTAATTTACTCATAAGGAAGTTAAATATTTTACACAATTCGAGATCTAATATACCAATAATTAGTCTTTGTTACACGAGTTAATGTTAATATGCCTGCTAGCCGTGGTATCACTACTGCGTCCTGGCTGATACCCTAATGAGTATGAAGATGCTGTGATACAGTTCTGATATGTTACATATTCAGTAAATTAACGAAGATTTTTTTTTATTCCACCTGAAGAACCCACGTGATCTCAATGTAAACCATAATTTTTAAGGGGTGAGCCAGCTAAAAGCCTCGATCAGATGACCAAAAGCTCCAGCTGCAGGTCATCGTATGACTAAGACCCGCATCAGGAAATACTTTATCTGTTTCCTGACAAACCTTATCTAACTTAACCTAACTATGTGATCTGATTCAATGCCACAGAACCACATCTTTGTATCGGAAGTTTTAATTATTTTATAGCGCTCACTTCATTATATTTTAAATATAATGACAATACGAATTCCATCACGAATCTTCGTGGCTAAAAATAATGTTCTACGACATGGTATCTGTTCGGCATTACTATTATAAAGAGGTTAAATTAATTTCCTTCGTGCCGACATAAAGTTTATCGACTCGCATAGTGCTATTCTCGCTAATCGCGAGAATCTTGGCTAATTACACCTTTCTTCCAAGGGAATGAATCCGACACAGGATCCTTCCCAGCAGGAACAGCGGTGGGAGCTTTGGACGAGGCGGCCGTGGTGAGCCCGAAGGACCCGTGGTGGAGGAGGCTGGAAGTGCGGCTCGTGGCTGCTGTAGGAGAGATCCTCAGGGATTTCTCAGAAGTGGCAGAGGAAGAACTACCCGACGGAGACCCTGAAGGAGACCAGCTGTCTGTCAAGAAGTATTTATTGGTCGTGGTGTTTTGCGTCTTGATGAATCTGCTTCGTGTTTTCTCTCTTCTCGTCTCCTGTCCGTCTTTCACTGTCCTCTCTTCCATTTATTCCCCTTCGTTAATACAGTAAATGAAGCAGTAGTGAATTTGAAAAGTCTTCATATCTTATATAACATATTTCCTCATATTTTATAGGTCTTTTCCTGTTTTGTAAATTTATATTCATAATGAAATTCCTGAAGTTTATAATATTAATAATAATAATAATAATAATAATAATAATAATAAAAATAATAATAATAATAATAATAATAATAATAATAATAATAATAATAATAATATATATATAATTATTATTATTATTATTATTATTATTATTATTATTATTATTATTATTATTATTATTATAGTTTTATTATTTTGTATTATATATTAATTTTCATAGACTAGTGTTGAGAGTCGCTTCTGACATCACTAGTCTGTGGTACACACATTTAACACGATAAAACAAATGATATTTCTTTTATCGTGTTAAATGTGTATACCCTTACCATCTAAATGATAATTATGAATAATGATTTTTTTAATAAACTCTCAAGCTTCAAGTACGATGATATTCTGCGGGGTGGCCACAACTTGTTGTCACCTCTGTCAGCTGAGAAATTAGATTATAACTCAACCATCGAACTAAGTTTGCAATATTTCGAACCTGGTTCATGACACAACCGACGGAACTTAGTAATAATGAAAATGTTTTGATTCAACAAGATGTGACTCCAGTCATTTCAGGCAATCAGAGGAGTAAATAAACATGGGGGTAACAAAACGTTGTGACCACTTAGTTTAACGTGGATTTTATTGCTCTTTCTTTGTAGCATTTTAATGAAGTTATGATTTTCACTCCATTATAGAAATCATTTTATTATATTTATCTTTCCTTATTAGAATAATATTTCCTCTTCACTTGTAACAGATTAAAAGAGAACATCCTGAGGTTCGGGTCGGTGATGCGGCCTCTGACGGAGCTGTCGGCAGCAGTGACGTCTCTTCTGAGGTGGGAGTCGCCCTCAGCAACCCTCCTCGCCCTTGTCGTCTACCTTTATAGTGTTCTCTTCGGCTGGGTCATGCCCATGGTGCTGCTCATGGCTATCCTCAGACTCTCCATCAATTACATGAAGAAAAGGTAATAGAAAGGAAAAAAGACAAAAGAATGTGTTTTTAAAGTATGATTTAATTGTTCTAGTCATATCTCTTGGGGTTCCAGTCTGTGGCGGCGTGAGTGGCAGGGGTGCATATGGGCATGGAGTCTTTTACTGTGTATTGCGCTGCATAACGTTTCGGTTACTGTACTTCGTTAATTTAAATAATCCTTAAATATATTCGTATTTTAGAGACATTGGTTTAATTTAGGATGGTTGATTAATGATAAAGTTTAATTTAGGATGGCTGGTGAAAGTTAAGGTTTAATTCAGAATGACTGGTGAAGGTTATTGTAACATGGTTAAAAATTAGTTATTGCATTATGTTTTGACTCTTACTATGTTTACTGTGTCCCATATCTTAAACCTCCTATGTCTTCCTCTCTGCATCGTTCATGACTTGCAGACAACTTCAGACACAAATTTAATATGATCAGGGAAGTAATTTTTCATTATGTATAATTTTTCATTTTTTATTGTATCTACCCTGTAATATAGTAATTGCATGCATTAATTTTCAAGGTCTCACGGGTATTGTAAGATAAAAGGCAATGCATAACCATATCACATTGCAGCTTGACTGTTTTTCTAACCATTTCTTAACTTGCAGAGGATGGACACAGAATTTCTTTCGTCGTCTGCGTCGTGAAGGTGTTGAAACAGTAGACACCACCAACAGTGAAACTGGATTAGGGGACAAGTTTGCCCTGGTGTTGCAGGTAGCACGAAGGGTTCAAAACCAGCTAGGAGCTGTTTCCAATGCTGCTGAGAAACTGAAGAAGTAAGGCTGTGTATTTATGTTTACGTGTTTAGCAGTATATTGCCATATGGAAGTGCTTTGCAGTGCTTGTCATGTGTGCAAGGGAAATTTTCACCATTCATCAACCTCTTTCTATCTACGCTTCTCTTTTTATCTCACATATATGCAAGGTTTTCTCAGTGTTATTCAAGTTTTTTACATTTAGTTTACTATTACACTGTGCATTCTATGGTATAATTAACTATTTTTGTACTTATAAATCTTAAAAAAAAAACAATGTTTACATACAGTTCGTAGGGGTCTGGAACGGATTCTGGTCGTGACCAGAGATTCCAAAAGAAAGAAAGAGAGAGAGGGGGGAGAAAGCAACCTTGTCATTTGGACTGATCCAGTTATTTAGATGATAAAATATCTGCAATACAATGGTACATTTTACAGACTCCTTTTGAATGGCCTTGTTCTCTCACGGACACAATAGCTAAGTTAAATTATTAATTTATGAAACGGGAGACTTTTCATTTTATAAGTTTATTCCAACACAAGAGTGCAATTGACGCAGACAACTGAAACAAGCGAACACATATGTAAACAATAAAACTGACGGTGTGTGCTGAATATTTCGACCTCATACAGCGTCTGTTGAAGAGAACCTCAGTCTGAGGCTGAAATATGCAGTATATTGTTATATTCCGTTTTCATTGCCTTTATGTGGGTTCCTCTCCAATTGATATTTGAACTTGATGAATTATGGGAATTATTCATAGCAGATGGTCTCGAAATTTCATCTTTTCACTACACTAATAACATATGTCTTTCGAAATTTTATTTGAAAGTGTTTCATAAAAATATTAGACATTAAACTGAACAGAATACAAATAATATTCTTGGGATCACCAGTCCGGCTAATCTCGCCAGGCTGGTGATCCCAGGATCTCCCTTACTCGGGGACGATGGCGGTCACTACAAAAATCTAAGCCGATAGATTTTTTATTTAAAAACATGGAAAAAATGTATAAACTGAGATTTGCATTTGCATAAGCGTAACAAATTGTGCAAACAAGGCGTTATGTTTGCTTGAAGCCAGGGTTAGCCATGTGGCATTCCCACATAAATACTCCTGAACCAAGAAGGCACACAACATTGAGACTATATATCGCACTTAAAGAAATGTGTTAGGGTCACATAAACAAAATTTTGTCCTGAACCTAAATATGGAGGGAATTGACTGTATGCTATTTGTTACATCAGCGGAGCCTATCATGCCTTCATAATCTAGGAGTAAAGGCTAACCAGGGATTTTCTATTTCCTACACACAAACCAATAATTCCTGATCGCCATGTTTCTTTGTCCTAGCTTGCTGCTGTGGGAGCACGAGGCTACGCAGCGTCTGTACCTATTCTTGTGGCTGGGCCTCCTAGCCTCTGTGCTCCTCCCCGCTGCCCAACTCTTCACACTCTTTGGTGTCTACCTGGGTCTCAAGTTTTTTGTTTTGGATTATATTTTCTTCCGCTACCCAAGAATCAGACTCAAGTACGACTCCACCTCTAAACTGTGGGATACTCTCCCCACTGACGCTGACCTCGAGCGACGGGCAGAGAAAGTAAGTCATGAATAGTGATTAAGAACTGAGGGGTCTTCGATTAAAGACTTAAAATATCAATTTTTTTTTTCCATCGAATGACAGCGTTTGATGAATGAATTATAATATCAGCAATTTTTCACATTGATTGACAGATTAATTCACAATTAACTCAGCAACTGGAAATGGAAACAAGACAGCTTTTCGACGAATCCCCAATCATTATATCAAGTCGCTAGCCGATAATAGTCATAGACCAGCTTGAATGTAATCTAGTTTCTGGATTATTTGTGAATGGATCCAGCTACGCTATCTAGACTTCTATGTTGTAAAGAGGTATTTAGTTATGGCAGTATACAAATACATCTATGTTTATGATCGCCAATAGCGAAAATTTTATTTCCAGAATCGAATAGAGAACGGTAACTCCTCTCCTGATCTGACGTCCTTCTTGGAGCTCTTCAGCCTACCAGCCACAGAGACACCCTTACCAGGTGGGTTTTCGCCTCTATTACTCTTTATATTTATTTATTCCTCCTTTATTTATGCTTTGATTTCCTCTGTTCCCTTCTGTTTCCCTGATATCCTTTTCTGTTTCCTCTGCATCTTTCGTTATCTTTTCCCTTTTATCCCCTCAATAACTGAATTGTGTCAGATGGCGGTTTAGATCAAGCCTTTTCTTAGTATTTTTCTCGTTCGAATATTTAGGCCCTTCTTCAAAATTGCTATGTTACCTGCCGTGACCTTGTAGTCTGACTCTCATCTCCCGTCTGGGACGTCAAGGTTCTCGGAAGGAGGATCAAGCCTCAACCGTTTCACAAATTTACACCAGAAATACTCTCATTTATACAGTGTTTTGCCTTATTTTCTTTTGGGAAAGGAAATTATCATAGGTTTATCAAATCCTATTCTATCACCTTGTATATAAATAAATTTTAAGATTTTCTCAATTTCAGGATAAATTATAATGTAAGTTTAAAGGGCTCTATTTCAGTGTAACTGTGAGTCTATTTCAGTGTAACTGAGTGTGAGTCTATTTCAGTGTAACTGAGTGTGAGTCTATTTCAGTGTAACTGAGTGTGAGTCTATTTCAGTGTAACTGAGTGTGAGTCTATTTCAGTGTAACTGAGTGTGAGTCTATTTCAGTGTAACTGAGTGTGAGTCTGTTTCAGTGTAACTGTGAGTCTATTTCAGTGTAACTGAGTGTGAGTCTATTTCAGTGTAACTGAGTGTGAGTCTATTTCAGTGTAACTGAGTGTGAGTCTATTTCAGTGTAACTGAGTGTGAGTCTATTTCAGTGGAACTAAGTGTGAGTCTATTTCAGTGGAAGTGAGTGTGTAGCCATTTATGAGTAACTGAGCATGCATCTTCTGTGTACCTGGATGGGAATGAGCTTAGTTCCAAATTATGATTTACTTTTGAAATGCAGTTGTGTAGACGGATTTTCATCATGCACTTTTGTTAATAAATCCTTTAGTCTTACCCAAGATACAGGGGGTAATGTGTCAATTTGAATAAAAGTCATATGAGTAAAATAAGCTTTTATTATAACATCGTTTCAGTCTCTGTAAAGGGTAACCGAGTCGTATTAATGACTTTATAAAGTTTGTTGTGTGTGTGTGTAACATCAACAAAGCCTTTCTCTTTCGTGTGTTATTGAAGGACTAGAGCTGGGCAGTTTGTTTGTCTCCCATGACAGTTCTAGTGTAGAACATTGTTAATTTTTTTTTTTTTATAATTCTCTGTCTATTTCATTGTTTGGATGATATATTTTATTGCTTTTACTCATTTTGTGCTGAAGGTGAATCAGTCACTGGCGGAAATAAGGGCAAATATGATATATAAGGGCAAATATGATATAGATAGCTGATAGTAGACTGGTGATACCGAGGGTATGTAATGACGCACATGCAGCGTTCAAGACATCGAAGAAACATTTCGCTACAAGCACCTTCTTCAGTCCTAGAACCGAAGAAGCTATCTGTAGCGAAGCGTTTCCTCGGTATATGTCTTGAAAACAGAAAACTCTGAATAGCTTAATTAAATTTATTTCCCTTTTAATGCAATATTGATTTTGTGTAATTGTATTTATTTTACTGATGCAGATGATACATACGGTATATCAAAGTAATATTTACTGTAGTGTGAGGTTTCTGTTTCTCTTTTATCATTGTTTAAAAATATTTATCACTATACTTGGAAAATAGCAGCGTAATACTTAACATAGCAGTGCATTAGTGCATTAATTAAATTAACAATGCTGTATTACCTCAGCCTATTTGAGATTATACAGCAGTACATTAAATAACGTAATAATACAAAATGTGGTCTTGTAGAACACTAGGCAAGATAAAAGGACATACACAGAAAGGTGTATATCTCTGTTTATATAAACAATAGTTTAATTTTAATCCCTGTTCAAGAGTTTTACGTATTGTTGATTGTTAGTGTTCCGATGAACTGCCGGCATGCAGTCGGTAGACCTGAATCGTAACTAACTAATAAGGTAACATAAATATTAATCTTGCAGGATGGCAGAGTGGTCGACGCTGTACCCTCGTCAACAGAGATCGATCCCTCACATCAGCTTTTAAAAATGGCCGCCTCTACCTCACCAACAGGTTAGCAAAGCAAGACAAACAAATCGCCTCTTCCACCAAACTAACAGCGTCTACTAACAAAGTTACATCATCTAACAAACTAACAGTTTCTAGCAGCACCAAGGGAAATCCGAGTGCAAAATCACCATCATTTACTCAAAAGCAAAGCATGATTGGCACAAGGAGGGGTTCCCTCACTGGGTTTCCTATGACTCAAAACGATTTAGCTTCTTTGACCTCTAGCTTTAACTTCCTCAGTAAGGGAAATAAGAGCCTCAAGGTGAAAGAAAACAAGGAAGATGAAGTGGAAATTATGGAGAAAATTTTTGAGGGTCCAGATGACGAAGATCTCAATACCACTTCGAAGTTTTACAAAACAAGTGACGCAACAAATGGCAGATCACAGTCCCCCCAGTCTCGAGATTTCTCTCTTCATATGTGGAAAACGCCCAGTGAATGTGACTCTTCTTCCAAAAATCTACGACAGATGACTTTTGGCAGGAGAAGTGGGGTTCTTTTGCGTTCTGTAAGTGAACAGAGTGAGTTAAACGCAGAGCTCCATCAAGAAGACATAAAAGACGTCTCTTCTTGTAATACGGATAACAAAGAACAAATAGAACAAGACAGTGAGAAAACACAAAGTAAGAAGTCACGTTTGGCAAGACTGAAAACGGTAAAAACAGATGAACCAAAGGTTAAAATTTCAGTCATTGATAAACTCAATGAATGTGTTTTCTATTCAGTTTAATGTATTAGCAAGAATCTGTGACAAACTCAAAGCAATGACAGTCTGCCAAATTTCATGTGTGAAAAAACCTCTTAAGGAAGAAAACAAATGAAAAAAAAAATCTGATAATGTAGGATTTTTTTTTACCAGAAACACAAGATGTCATAAACAAACTATTGACATAAATTTCACAAAGATTTTTGATAATTTTGTATTGCATACGAGGTGCAAAAATGGTGAACATTTACGTCATAACAATATTAAGGCTTGTGATAACTTTGAACTAATATGCAGTTTAAAGAGCTTGAGTTTGTGAGTACTAGAACTTGGGTGTTTAAATTCCTCTAGTATTATATATATATATTATATAATATATATATATATATATATATATATATATATATATATATATATATATATATATATATATATATATATATATATATATATATATATATATATATAATATATATATATAAAAACTGTGCTCACGAAACATTTTAGATACCTATGTATCACTGATGTTTAAGATATTTAAGCTTGAAAAACGTGTATTGCCCATAGAGAATAAATTGTAATACTTATTTTTTTACTCTTTTTACTTTAAAAATTTTCTTCATACAATTTCCAACTATAGTTGGGTTAGGTGGGTTAGTGATTTTCTAAGACAAATAGAATATTTTACTAGTCAAGATCTTGGTGCGATCATGAGACTCAGATGTTAAAATCCTTCCAAAATTATAACGAGTTCATGAATTTCACCTTATTGTTTAATGTTATTTTATATATTAAGCATTCTAGGATATTATAGCTAGATAGATAAGTATAGATATAGACGTTTCAATAAATATAAACTGTTATTCTTAATTATTTTTACTCATTTACTTTAATTTCATTCATTTAACATAAAACATGTTTCTCTGGATATCGCAAGCTAATTTTTGATTATAAATGTTGTCCTCAAGTAAAATGTTATTCATAAACTTAAGATTTAAAAAATAATTTCCATCATTTATGAATAATGCTAAAATAGCTTGTTCCATCATCAATTAAGGTTCATAATAAAATATCATTATTATCAGTTATGCATCTGTTATAAAATAAACATTATGCTTCAACTAATGGTGCTTCATAGAAATACTGTCTATCAACTTACGGTGCTGTCTAAGAATGATATCCATCAACTAGAGGTAGAATTTTAGAATATATCCTTCAACTAATAACTAAAGGTGCATTATCATATATATATTATAATATATATATATATCATATATAATATATATTAATTATATATATTATTATAATATTGTATATAATATATATATATATATTATAATATAATATATATATAGCTAATATTATAATATATTAATAAATATATGCGATCTTGGCTTAAATACTAACGCTCATTGCATTTGACACAATTTGTATGAATATTTGAAATATATAGTATTTCATTGAAAATATTAATTATGATAAAGTATATGATCTAATAATTTTATACGGTCTTGGTAAGTATTTCACTTTTGGTGCAAAATTAAAAATTTCAAATCAATTCTGACACCTAACGCAAAAAAAAAAAAAATGTATTTCATTGTGTTTGTTAAATAATTAATATTATCTGTAACAAATCTAAAAATATTGGATTGGGTTAGGCTATAATAATATTGCTCTTGTAATAACAAGGTTAGCTAAGTTTTCTAAGTTTCTTTTGGTGCAAAATTAAAATTTTTACATTAAATTAATGAAAAAAATATCTTTAAACGTATAAGAGAAAATTTTCGAAAGGAGTTCAATTTTAAATGAATTCTTGCTAATGACCAGTTTTACATATTCGGCGCGACAAACACACACACAACACACTACAACAACAACTACACACACACACACACACACACACACACAACAACACACATATATATATATATATATATATTATATATATATATATATATATATATATATATATATATATATATATACAAAACAAGGCACATGGGAAGGAAATCTTTAGCTCTAGATCTTTCGCAATCTTGTGCGTCGTCAGCAGCTTGCAATGTTGCTAGATAGCAACAGACAGGGGGGGAATTCTCTGAGTCAAGATAGAAGGTATCAATGGCAGCCCATTGTTAAGATCACCTGTTTGCGATTGCATTAAAATTGCAGCTGAATGACCTTGGATGACAGTAAAATCTCATATTGTTGAAATTCTCATCACCTGATTGTTCATTGTTGATATTTTCATCACCAGGTAATCCTGTTAGATTTTTTCATCACCCGAGAAGATATTCCATTGCCTAGTCCTTCGTACAGATATTCCCATTTCCTGATTAGATTCTCCCATCACCTGGTCTTTGGTGATAAATGTACTCTCACCTGAGTAGGTATTCTCGTCATATGTTTTTTTGGTAATAATTAATCTCATCGCCTGAGTAGATATTTCCATCATCTAAATAGATATTCTCATCCCATGGCCCTTGATAGCTCTTTTCGTCACTTGAGTAGATATTTAAACCAGGTTGTTTTCGGTATAGATATTTTCATCCTCTGAGCTCATATTTTCATTATCTGAGAAAATAGTCTCATTTTCTGAATAGATATTTTCACCACGTGATAAGGCCGTGTCATCATCTGAGTAGATAGCTCATCACATGAGTAAATATCTCAACATTTGAGAAGATTCTCTCGCCTCTTGAATAGACGTTTGTTTTTTGGTAGAAGATATTGTTATAGATGGTGCTATATATATATTATATATATATATATATAATATATATATATATATTTATATATATATAATTATATATATATAATTATATTATATATATATATATAAAAGTTACTTTTAACAGATTCAGTAGGGCTTTATTATTTTGAGAGAAATTTTGGATTTGGATCGCTATATAAACATCCTCAGCACAACCTGGTTATATACATCCTGAATAAGGAGAGATATAATTCACTGTCCCTGATAAACAATATTTTTATTGACCTGAGTACTGATAGCCTCAGACGTGAGACAAAGCTAACAAAATTGTCTTGGTATGTTCTATATAGTGACATGTTAAAAAGTACAATTAATACAGACGACGGAGATTGTTGTCAAACTTTTAAGCACAATGAAGGTAACTGTATACGAAATTTTTCGATAAAAGGCTGAAGAAAAATTACAAGAGCAGAACAAGTTTTTATTGGGGCAATGTATCGCTCCGTATAGAGCTTTATCAAGTCAATGAGCGAAACATTGCACAAAGAAAGCTTGCTCTGCACCTGTTAATTCTCTTCGGCAATATGCTGCTGTATCCTTAGGCTTGGTATCCTAACAACTTACTAGAGAGCCTCTTGAGCTGGAACAGTGTGATAATGATACTGGGTACAAGTTTTTGTCAATAGTGATTTCTCTATCATATACTTTAACGTTATTGTGAAATTATCAAGATAACTGTATACTTTATGATCCCCATATATTGTATAACTTGGTTAACTGTTATAGAGTATAATAATTATAAGTTATCCCATAAAGATTGTTGTAAAGCTTGTATTTGACAGAATTTAATTATTATACACCCAGCATTTTTATGAATATTATTGATAACCCAACATCTTATAATTAAGAATAATACCATGTTTATTTAAACATTGTTCTCAGTTACTAATAAGAAATGAAATAATATAAGTAAAATACGTAGTGTATGCAATCTATTTTATAGATAACTCAAACATGCAAGAACATGTGAAACGAAGGGGTCGTAAGAAAAAAAAAATGCTCGAACCAATACGACCGAGATTTTTTTGCCTTGACTTCTCAGTCTCTTCCCAGAGGCTATTATTTCTTTAAATTATGTTATATATATATATATATTATATAATATTATATATATATATATATATATTATATATATAATATATTATATATATTATATATTAATATATTATAATATATATATATTTAATAAGTATAAAAAATTATTATAAAATGGATCCTGTAATGAATAATTCTGTCTTTTTGGCGGTGGATCGAGTATCTGACATTCCTTGCGCTGAATGACCTATACGGATTTCGCGTTTCACATAAGTATGCGAAAAGAGAATGTGTTCTCAACAAATGCACAAATTGGAAATGTAAACTTGGTCCATCCTGAACCATCATCAAATCGTGAGAGAGAGAGAGAGAAAAAGAAAAAAATTCAGAAATCAAGTCGAACCCTAAGGACGTCCAGTTTTCGTTTTTAATTTATGCGTTAGTTGTAAAGTTTTACTTTTTTCTTCATGTATTTCTTTTTTTAGATATGAT